ACCTATGTTCACGGGAAGAGCAACACAGAATTTCATTATAGATCAAACGATATAATAGATATTATAAACCACAATCGAGTCACTTAAACACTCTAAGTGTTTCCCAAGCCCCAATTATATTCAATAAATCACGTAATGTTTAGCCCCACAATTTCTCACGAAATAATCTCTCAGTCTCGCGAAGAAATTATACACAAATCTTACCACAATATTTAATCGCTCAAACATTTGAACTCTTGGTGTAATTTCACGAATAAAATCACGAACCCAACGCCAACACCTACGTATGTCACTCAGAAATTCGGCATCCACGGCACTCAGAGAAAACGGTGCTTTTAAGTCTGCTCACATCAACATCGGCACTTCCAGAAGTGAATATATAAATAGCCATAGAAAAGGGAACAACGTCCAGAGGCCGAAATCTACATGGAATAGGAAATAATCGCATTCGGTCAACAAGTCCAACCTAGTGAACTTTCCTCTTCAGATATTAGCCATGCTCTTCCACAAGAAATAGGAAACAATATATTTATTCTTTGTAGTCTTCTTTCACGGTTCGACCAAAAAAAAAAAGAAAAAAAAATCTTCTTTCACGGTCAAAGTCCAATTTTGGATTCCAATGTGAAATTCAAGAAATCATATATTTTCTTTCTTCGTGAACTCCAACTCGCCAACTAAAGTTACCGTAGACTGCACTTGCCTGATTCTGAGCATTCCGCAAAATATTTATTTCGAAATATTCAGACTTTCCCAATTAACGATTAACATTAGATCGGATTTCGTTAACGGGCTTAAACTCAAGACATATTTTAACAAAAAATTGTATTAGGTTGACCTTGTTCATCTCATTAATTAGGTTAAGTGAATGATAAACAGTGAATTTTCTTATTTTTCTTTCTTTGTTTCTTTCATTGCCATTGCCTTGTCCTTTCGCTTTTCTTATGCTCCGTTTATTTTGCGAAAGATTAATGATTTTGATAACATTTTTAGGAAATGCATGTGATACAAACGAGTACAAATATATACTTTCTAATTCGTAATTCGCCTCTTAGGAAAGCATGCCCATGCTAAAAGCGAACACCAACAATTTACATTAAGATACATCTAGAGAACTTATTCGACAAAAGTGGATACTAACAGCTATATAAATTCCGTGACGGTGAAATACTCTATTAACTGTCATTGCCAGGTGAGACACAAGCTTAATGTAGTCCAACTTTTAAAGAAGGAATTGTTTCTGTTTACTAGTGGAAGGAATCAAACTCGTATCATGCGCCTGATCAACATACACAAGCACGTTCCTAACCACTAAACCAGCTGCTTAGGGTTGCCTCTAAAACATTTCAGCTAAATCTTTTGGATAACTGTCCACTGTACCTTATATTGCTACCTGTAATTTACTTCTAATTCCGAGTCCTAAAGAACTTGACCATCTAATAAATTGCACAGGGGAAAAAAAAAACAACTCACTAGACATGTCTCTTTGGTGCCTGACCAAGCGTGGCTGGGCGAAACCGCTTTGATCCGGAATCGCACTGCTACGCCGTCCAAGCGGCTGGTTGCCTCTCTTTGTGCGTTTGAAATCAATGTGCTAGCTTTCATTGAACAATGTTGTCGATCAACTAAACTTTTGGGGGAAAGTCAAAGGGTAATTTTTGACTTATAAGATGCAAATCGAAATGGTGCCGACATTATGCAAACAAACATATGCAAAACATTGAGCTGTGTTTGTCTTAGATTTTTTAAGGCTAGATATATTGTTCTTTTTATTTTCATGTCAAAAGTTAAAAAGAAACTGTTGTCAACATTCAGATACGGCAAGGGTAGAAAAATGACTAATAGTGCGAGTCCAGAATTTAAAAAAAAGAAAAAACTAAAAAAATAAATAACCAATACACCCATTCAATTGATTTGATACGCAGGGAACAGAAAGGATTCAGGCAATTTGTCTCGACGAAGACCATAACGAAGACTATGACCATTTTCGGACATTCAGAAATAAACAGTTTAAAAAGTTGCAGAGCTTAAGATTCCTTCAATTGAGGGGGTCGGCCCTAAGTGGAGACTTCAACAATATGTTTTCTGAATTGAGATGGCTTCGTTGGCATCACACTAAAACAAAAAGATTGACCATATTTAACAAATGGTCTTTTCCGGCAACCAAATTGTGGCTGCCGAAATTAGTGATGCTAAAGTTGTCAGTTCCCTGGATCACTGAGCAATGGAGAGGATGGAGTTCAATCATGGTAAGAGGGAGACATCATCTGTGATTTTTTGTTTGTTTTGTTTTGCCCATCAACTCATTATTCTCCTTTGTACAGGTGGCAAAGCGGCTGAAAGTTCTCAACCTTGCATATTGTGATAGAATAAGATGTACTCCTGATTTTACAGAGTTGGAGATTCTCATCTTGACAGGTTGTACCAGACTGGAGCAAGTCCACCCTTCTATTGGCAAAGTCAAGAGCCTCGTTTCCTTAGACTTGAGATATTGTTGGCGTCTCAAGAAGCTGCCAGAGGAAGTGGGTGAATTAGAAGAATTAAAAGAACTTAAGGTAGCTTGTACTCATTTTACAAACATTCCTATGTCAATTGGTTTTCTGAGGAAGCTGGAAAAACTAAATGCCGAAAGTTGTCGGTCATTGAGAGAAATCCTAGCTCAATCGGGGATTTACAGAATTTGCAACATCTGGACATGAGCTATTGTGCAATTGAAGAGTTATCAAGTGCTATTGGAAGGTTGAAAAAACTGCAGAATCTAATTCTCAAAAAATGCGGTAGACTGAAAAGGGTTTCAAGTGAAATTGGTGACTTGTCTTATCTCCAAAACCTTAGCCTAAGGGGTTGTTTCAAGCTTCGATCACTGCCAGAGCTTCCTTCCGGCTTAACATATCTGGGCGTGTCTTGTCAGAGCCCTAGGTTGCCACAACTTTCTTGCCTAATTCACCTAGAAGAACTTCGTCTTTATGGATGTGATCAACTTGAATACATCCCGGAACTTCCCTCGAGAACCTCAAAACTTTGTGTTGAATCTTGTCCTAAGCTGATATTGCCTAAGCTTGATGGATTCAAGTTCTTGGAAGAGTTGTCAATAGAACACTACAGTTCCATCGAAAGAGTGGACCTTTCTCAATTGAATCGTCTGAAACGATTATGGGTTGTGTATTGTAATAACCTAGTCGAAATTCAGAGCCTTGGTAATTTGGAGTTCTTGGATGAGATACATATATCTGTATGCAAGTCCATTGAAAGGCTGATCCTTGCGGAGGTACGATGTTTGAAGAAACTAAGAGTTAGGTCTTGCGACAATCTAGTCGAAATTCGAGGTCTTGATAAGATGGAGTTTTTAGAGGAGTTGGATATTTGTTATTGTGGGTCCATTGAAAGATTACCTGACCTATCATGCTTCGCGACCTTGAAAGAGTTGAACATCAATGGCTGTCGCAATCTACATAGTGTTGAGAGCCTCGAGAGATTCTTGTCTTGCCGAAGCATATACATAGCGGGATGTGAATCCCTAGAAAAACTACCAAACCTGTCCAAATTTGAAAATTTAGAGAATTTCACATTGAAGTATTCGCATCATGTTATGGAGATTTCTGGGGTTGAGGAATCAAGATCTCTAAGACACATAAATATCACGGGATGCGAATCAACGCAGACTTTGCCAGATTTGTCAGGATGTAAGAAATTACAATGTCTAGTGGTACGAGACTGCAAGAAACTTACTCAACTTTGGGGACTTAAAAAGTTGGATATTGCTTATATGGATATTTCTGGGTGCAACTCATTGGAAACAATACTGAAGTCAACTAAAACACGCATCATGAGAAAGTATGGAACTCAGCCATATGTAGAGGGCAATCAAAATATTATATTGCAGTGATAATGATGTGATAGATCTTATACCCATATTACAACAATGAGACGAGTCATCTTTCCTTAACAAAGGTAAATAAGCAATAGACTACCATTTTTCTTCTAAGATTCATGACCTGTTTTTAATCACTATTTTCTTTTGACAAGAAGGTTTTCCTTGACAGGGTTCTGTACTTTCCTAAACTCTTAGTCTTACGTAACTGAAGGATTGGGAGAGTTGGTCTTAGAAGCTAACCGGATGCTTTAGCCAAGATCAAAATGTAGATCCAAATGTCAGTCTACATACAATATAAGGCATTGGTCATCTAATAAGATTCTTCATCTTACGGCCAGCGTGAGCGAATAGAGTAATACTTTTGCTCCCGACTAGGGATCTATTTGCTTGATTATAAAAATTTCGGATTTGCCAATGTAAACTTGCTGTTGATTGCATTATAGCAACATTTTTCATATATCCTTCCATTGGCAGCTTTTGCAGATAGCAAACAGATTAGCGGCTTTTGAGGCAACGAATGAAAATTCAACCACGATAAACAAGAATTACCTAGTGATGTACGCTTTCCCTCTCTATTAACCTAGGATTGAATTTTTCATCTAGAGGCAAATGATCTTATGCTACTAAATATTGTTAACTGCGCCCAAAATCAAATTTTCTTTTGTCCAAAATTGATATTTTCTTTGGAAAAGTCCTTGGCCATTTTGAACTCCGTTGTGAGTTCTTTTGTGTCAAATTAGACTACCGGAAGATATCCTGCTTAGAACAAACACCTTTCGAATTTCTCTCATATATGATTGGAGATTAGCTTTTTATAACCAGTGGTAAAACTGTTGTTTTGAAAGATTATCAAGCAAAACTGGTATTACTTTTGTGCCAGGTTTGGTTGATCTATGTAATGATCAAGGCTTACTTTTGGACTTCGATTCAATGAGCTGTATGGATGACCTTTTGCATAATTGGGACAATTTTTGCCCGCTCTGTGAAACAACATGGGTCAAGGGGCTTAAGAAATGGCTATTTAGTTTTCATACTGTATGATCCTATTGTTGTCATGGAATCGTTTTATCAAATGATTGACCTGTTCCTAACTTGGCTGTAAAACTTCAAATTCCATACCAGAGACCAATCAAAATGAAGAGGGATTTTGCAGTGGAAGCATCGGCATTAGCTGAGGGCCGTTTTGCGTGCCAACCTTGAAGAGGCTTGTGCACCAACTGGAGTGTCCTGAGGAACTTTTGATGCTTGTGAAGATCCAAACAAGTGATTAAATCATATTTGTTAACAAGATTACTGTGAAGATGTCCACTTCAAGCTCCAATTTTGTCACCGGAAGAAAAACTATTTTCATGGAAAAAGCGAATGTTGTGGAATCAGCAAATAATCTGTCAATTGCAGCCAAGAGTTTAATGAAAAGGTTTTCAAGAAGACAACATTTTCTCATTTATAGGAGTTTTTCCTAAGCTATTTCCTGTATTAAATTGGCTTGAGTGGAAGAATTGTCCTTCATCTTTTGAGGCGACCTATTTTGCATTTGGAGAAATTACTTGTGCTGGAGTTGATATTGAGCGCAATCAGAGATCATGGGAAGCATGGAGTTCAATCATGGTAAGACGGAAAAAGAAAAGCACATCCACTTTTGCTTTTCATATTAATTTTTATCAATCGAATCATCTGCACCCGCTAAATATGGCAACATATTTCATTCTTGTAGATGGCAAAGCAGCTGAAAGTCCTGAGACTTACATATTGCTATTTTCGAGACATACACCCTACTTCTCAGCTTTCAAACATTTGGAGATTTTCATCCTTGAGGATTGTATCGGACCGGAGAGGATTCACCATTCTATCGGAGATGTTAAGAGCCTCATTTCCCTGTACTTGAGGAATTGCAAGAGACTTCGGGAGTTAAATCTCGTCTTCTCAGAAGAAATGACGAAGAGTTGGGCCATGGAGGATGAATTCTAATTCAAAACTTAATGAATTTGTAGGTTTGGACCATTTTGTGTGGAGTGGTTCAACTCTGGCGATGAACCCATTAATGTACTAACGCTCATGGTTGTGACTGGTCCTTGAGTCATTTTTCTCTTATGGTCTTCGATCAGCTAGTGTTCTGTTGGAAGTGTTTCACTAGGACTTGCCTGTTTAACGAGACGACTTGACACAATCACTCAGGCGGCCATAAGAATATTATTTTGAATTGCCAGTGCTCTAAACGTAAATGGTCTATTATTTACCGAACTGGTCTATTATTTACTGAACTAACGAGATAAATGTTCGAGCGTAGAAGAGATAAGTCCAATTTACATTCGTTTTAATTAAATTAGAACGCTTGAATAGTGTTGGTAAATGGTGCATCATGCATGGAATGATAATATTGATCGATACTGCATTCGTGTTATACATATCAAGATGAAGGAGCTTGTCACATTCACTTTCCTTGCACCGAGAAGACAACAACGCAATCTTTATATTTTAATTTTTTTAATGTCAATAGGGCCATTTGACTTTAGAAAGATGGCCTCCAGACAATGAATGACCCAGCAAAGCTGAATCTCTCAAATTTAGATCCTATATATATTTGTTCCAGTTATCCTCGACCTTCTTAAAAAAGCATACATTTATAGATTTAGCCCAATACTTGCACGAAGTTTCGTTTGTCTGAAAAAATAAAGCACAAACGTCTTATTGGAATCCAAATCTGGCAGCTTCAAATGGCCGTTAGAATCCAGCGACAAAAAGCTAAGTTGGCGACGGAGGTGGACCGTGCGCCTCACCTCGTTGCTAACGCGGCATCCAAATTGAAGAAACAAGGCCTTTTCGTGAAGCCTTCATTAAAATTAGAGAAAATTTTAAAAAGGGGCCTGAAATGGAGTCATTTTCTCAAATAAGGACCTAAAATGGACATATTCTCAAACAAGAGTCTGAAGTGGCCAAATCGTATCAAATAAGGACCTTTGGCTGGCCGGTGACTATTCCGTCGTCGAAGAATGGGTATTTTAGTCAAAAAAATTATAAATATATATATTTTTATTTTTTGTACTTTCTTTTCTTTTCCTTTTTCTTTTTTCTTTTTTCTTTTTTCTTCTTCCCTCTCGGCCGTCATTGCGCCTGGCCGTTGACCTCCGCTGGCGAGGGCAACTCTCGACCCTCGCCTGATGCAGGTTGGTGGTGAGGGCGAGGGATGCCCTTGCCAGCGTCGGGTGAGGGTTGCCCTTGTCTGCGTCCCTTTGCCTGAATTGGCCTTGCCCTCGCCAGCCTAGGCGAGGGCGAGGGTTGCCCTTGCCAGTGTTGGGCGAGGGTCGCCTTGCCTGGGCTGGCCTCGCCTGACGCCGACGAGGGCAACCCTCGCTTGCCCAGGCGAGGGTGGCCTCCGCCGGCCCCAGCTATGGCCGGCAGAGGGAAGATAGGAAAAAAAAGAAAAGGAAAAGAAAAAGGAAAAAAGAAAGAATAAAACGAAAAAAATTCAAAAAAAAAGTAAAAGATTAGAATACCCTTTGGTCGGTGAGGTCAGGTCTTTATTTAGGACTGATATGGCCACTTCGGAACCTTATTTTAGACAAGATTCACTTCAAACTCGTATTTGAGACAAGGTTTACTTCATGCTTGTTGACACCTATTTTTAATTTGCCCAAAATTAATTACACAAAATTTAGGAATTAATTTTCTTTAATTCCTAAAACAAAAAAATATTTCAATTTAAATGCATTGCATATAGAAATAGGTACATTTGCACTAATAGAGTCTATTATAGAGTTTATTTTATAAATAAAAAAAAAATCGAGTCGGGCCGGGTCGGAGCTGGGCCGACCCGGCCCATTTCTTTTTTCCTTTTTCCCTTGGGCCCAGGCCCTTTTTCCTTTTCTTTTTTTCCCTTCGCGCGGGCCCGGCCCGCTTTCCTTTTCTTCTTCTTTCCCCCACGCGGCTGGGCCTGGCCCGGCCCAGCCCCTTCTCTTCCTTCTTCCCCCCTGCGCAGAGCGGTCCCTTTCTCTCCCCTGCTCTCCTCTGCCGCTGACGCAGAAGCGACGAGCGGCGGAGCAGCCTCGCCCCGTCCCTATCTGGCCAGAGCAGGGCCAGGGCAGCACGCCACCGGGACTGGCATTCATGGCCAGTCCCGTCTTCCCCGATTTCCCGGGCTCTCTTCCTCTCTTCCCTGTCTCTCTGCACACTCCACAGAATCGGCCCCCCCTCTGCACCGGCCTAATGGCCGCGAAAGTCATGGTAGGAGCAGAGGCCGGTGCAGAGCAATGAATGGAGCAGAGAATGGTGTCGTCGTCGTCGGATATACAGACCAGAGAGAGGAGAGAGAGGGGCGTTTTTTTTCTCGGTCGGTTTGAGCAGAGAGAGAACGGAGAAGCCGTGAGAGAGACCCAGAGAAATTGAGCAAATTCTAGGGGGAGACGGAGCGAAACAGAAGAAACTGAGAGCTCTTCAGGCGGCCACCGCGCCTCAGCCATCCATCCCCGCCGCCGAGCCGACGGCGGTGACACACAGAGAGAGAGAGTCCCCGTTGGCCAATTTTGGGAGAAAAACAGAGAGAGAGACCGTGGGAGAGAAAGAGAGGATTGAAGAAATTTTTTTTTTGATCTTTGGTTTGCAGGTGGAAGAACACAGCCGCAGGAGTCCCCCAAACGAGCCAGAGTCGCCGACGATCCACCGAACCGACGTCGCCGGTCGGTTGGTCATTCTCGGCCAAAACAGAGCACCGAGGAGAGGGAGAGACAGAGAGAGAAATCGGAGAGAAAGAAGACATACCGAGGTTCCGCCGGAGCAAAAGAAGAGCCAGCAGTGTCGCCGTCGCCCCCCTGACCAGCCGGAAGCCCCTCCGTAGGCGCCGTCGACCGGTGAGCTTTCCCGGGGTCCCGTCCGCCTCTGTTCTCCCCTGTTTTTATGCTCGGTTTGGCCGGGACCCGCGCCGGCCGTTTCGCACGAGTCCCGGCCCATACCGCCGTCCCCCGCCGTCCGTGTGTCGTCACCGAAGGTATTTTGGGTCGCCTGAGTCCACCAGTTCGCCGGAACAGGTCGGAATATCTCTGTTTTGGTCACGCACGCCGAGTGTTTGTTGAAATGCCTCAGTGAGGCCACTTTTTAATTCTGTCCCCGGCCGGCCAGCGGTGGTCGGACGGCAACCCAGGTGGCCGGCGAGGCTTGGTGGCATTCCCAGAGGCCGGTTTTGAGCCGGCGGAGGTCTGGGTAGGCCGGCGGACGGCCAATTTTGGCCCCGCCGGCGCCCCCGCGTGTCTGTACACGCGGGGCTGACCCGACCCGGATCAACCGATCCGACCCGGGTCAACGCCCTAGGTAGGATCCGTTGACCCGGGTCGGTTTCGACCCGGATCAACTTATCCGACCCGGGTCAACCCCCTGGGTCGGATCCGTTGACTCGGGTCAGTTCCGACCCGATCCGGATCAACCGACCCGTCCCGGGTCAACCCCCTGGGTCGGATCCGTTGACCCGGGTCAGTTCCGACCCGATCCGGATCAACCGATCCGACCCGGGTCAACGCCTGGGTCGGGTCCGTTGACCCGGGTCGGACCTGGCCGACCCGACCGACCCGACCCGGTTATTATTATATTATATTATTTTTATTTTTATTTTTTTAAAAAAATTTATGATAAAAAATTAATTTTTTTTCTTTCGTATTTATTTATTTTTTTTAAAAAAAAATTTCAAAATTTTTTTTTTTTTAAAATTTGTGTGATATATTCTAAATGTTTTAATTTATTGTATTATTATGCATGTTTTTGTCTTGTTTAAATTAGACAAGCCTGAGAATTGCGCGGTAATATTTTGCATGTTATTTTTATTATCGCTGTATTATTATGCATGTTTTTAATACAATCGCATGAGTTGTGTTTTGAATGTCATCTGACTTAGTTAAGGTTAGAACCTTAGGCTGCATGAATTGTTGTGTTCCTGACTGCTGATCATTTCTGATTATGCACTCGCTTGATCACCTCACATGTTAGGAGAAAGGTCCTAAAATCAATCCAAATTGCCTGACAAATATTTTCAGAAATGAACAGGGTAAAATGGTACCGAAAGGGCATTAGTTATCCAACTAGTGTAACCAAGTCCCCGAACTCATTTAATCTCTGGTTCGTAGGAATAGGGTGATTCTCCCATCACCCTATTTGGGTTTCTAATCGACCCACCCCAAATCGATTAGTGGCGACTCCTTGATATAAACCACTTGCATGTTAAACACTTAAACCCTAAGTCGCGATATGGTATGGGCTTGGGAGAGCCCGAGTTAAGTCCCGAACCTAGACTTAGCACGTACCAGGCGAGCCCCCCTTTTTTCGCATGTTCGATAAAAAAGGGCTCGGGAGTTCGGTCGCGACAATGCTTTTATTTGAGAAAATGACTCCACTTCAACCTCATTTTTGAAATTTTCCCTTAAAACTAAAGGTTCTCTCTCGCTCGCCGGAATTGGAGGAAAAATTTGGGGTTCACCACTTTTGGCAAAGAGCTGTCAATTTTGGGGGCAAACTTAGCGTTCCGGGGTGACAAAACCTTAAGGCTGCGTTTGGTCGTCCGTATAAAACTCGGGATAGGATATGTTTTATCCTATCCCGTGTTTGGTAGGTGTCCCGGATAGTATAATGTCGGATATAACCTGGATAAAAAAAATCCGATAGGAGGGGGTAGGATAAGGTCGGATAGGATTTCTCCTATCCGTCGTATAAAAGCAAATTTTTAGAAACCCTACCCTTCATTCACGCACTCTTCACCCACGTGGCTAGTCGAGATGCTGAACTGGAAGGACCCGCAGGAGAAGGAGATCAGGTGGTCGTCCGCGGAAATAATGTTGAAGCTTGCTGGGAAGAAGCGCTTTTCCGCACCTTGCCGGCGACATCAGAGAAGCTCCGCCCTCTTCGTCGCTTCTTCTTCTTCTTCTTCTAGGCGCGCCGACTGCTCTGCTTTGCTCAGCTCAGGTATTGTTACTGTCCTCTCCAGTTTCGCACCGTCGTCAATGGCGTTCGTCGTGTTCATCGAATGGTATCTAGTTCGCGGTGGAGCAAGGAATCGGTGGCCCTTCTTCCTTGCAATTGCTGATTCAGTTCTGTTCGATTTGTCTATTTCGAAAAACAACGCGATTGCGGATGATGAAGGAACCCACCATCTCGCTGTTTCGATTATTTGTTTTGTGCTTGCGATGCTCT